CCCAAATCTATACCCTCAATCTTTTCAATTATTTTATTACCCATTTCATCCATATTTTTTTTAACAGCATCACCAAACTCAGCTACCGCAGTTTTCCAACGTTCATTTTCAGATATCAAACGTTGATTTTGTTGATAAAGAAGAGTATACGCCTCCTTTAATCGATTGAAATCTCCAATTGCTTTATCACGAATTCTACTATTATTACCAATATTAACTTGCTCTTCGTTATTAGGTTCTACAGTTGCCATGATAGATATTTACCTTTATAAAGTGAAAATAGAGGTAGTGGTAGTGGTTGAAGATTTTTTGACCGTGTTAAAAAATACAACAAAAAATATCGGCGATTCCTGAGAGGAATCACTCATCCATCACTCATCACAATTTATAAGATTAGCATATTTTGTGTAACATGATTTGTAATAAAAGAACAAACCATTCAACAATCCTTTGTTTTCTTTTAACCTTAAATCAAATAATGTTTGTAAGTATATTTTTTTTATAGTCGTACTAATAAATACATATCATTTACTCTACATATTTATTAGCTAAAATTGATAGCTGCAGGGGCCCAGTTCGAAGGCGCAATCCGTCTCAGCCTTTATCTCTACGATCTATGCAATGAAAACCTTTATTGTACAATATGTACATTTATAGTAACCTTCTTTCTCATACTGGCCGGAGTTGGCGCACTAGAAAATATTTACCGATTTGATAAGAGGCTGCATCTGCTAGTTGTTGCAGGTTTGGTTGGTTGGGGTTATATGCATATTGGCTGGATGGTGTTTGGATATGCATTATACATAGCAAAAGTGTTTTTTAAACCTGATCGTGATTGATTCTTTACAAAGATTTAAGTGTATACATAAAAAAACAATATAAATCAAATTGTACCGATAGGCGATTCCTCTCAGGAATCGCCGATATTTTTTGTTGTATTTTTTAACACGGCTAAAAAATCTTCAACTTATATTTTAAAAAAAATCAAATATAAAAAAATGATTGATGCTTTACTTGATAAGCTAAATAATGTTCGTAAAAAAAATAATCTAAAAAAATTAGAATAGAATACCCAGTTAATTAATGCCGCAAGTAAAGATGTGAAAGAAATTTCTTTAAATAATAAATTTGCTGAAAATAATAACCCTAAAAATTTTTATAATTGTGAAAAAGAATATTATAATGCTAAAGATGAAAATGAAGTTGTAAAGGAATTATTAAAGACAAATGAACATAAAAAAATTTTATTAGATAAAAAATATAATCATTTTGGTGCTTCTTTTAAAAATAATCATTGGGTGTTAATTTTTGGTCAACTTTATGCTAAAGAAGAAATTGATGTCAATCTCTTATTAAAATATACTAATGAAGAACGAGTAAAACTTGGTCTTAAAAAACTTGTATTAAATAGGTAAGTTATTTATTTATTAATTTATTTAAATATGTTTTAATTTTTTTTTAGTCAATTAGTAGAAGCTGCACAAGAATATGTTAATTATTTAGATAGAAAAAAAATTTATGATCATATTGGTGATGCGCGTAAAAAAATTCCTGGAATATATTGGGTAGAAAATCTCGGTCGGAATTATGAAAACGAAAAAGAAGCAATTCAAAGTTGGATGGGATCACAAGGGCATAGAGAACAAATTATTTTTGAAGATCACATTTATTTTGGTGCCGCATTAAAAAATGACATTTGGGTGCAAGCATTTGGATATAAAAAATAATGTTTACAGAAAACAATCAAATTGTAAAATCCAAATTGATCATGTAATTTTTTTTTGTTTTTTTTTTATTTATTATAATAAATAAAATATAACTTATACTTAACCCCAAAAATATTTAAAATAAATTACTTTTGATTCTAATTAATATCATTCTTCGTTATCAACATCGATATAATTATAATTAGGTTGAATTTTTAAGATTTTACATGAACTTAAATACAGCTGATTAGCAAGACCAAATAGCTTTAACATCCTAATCTTATTTTCGTTAACCTCACTTTGTTCAACAACCTCGATAGATTTTATCCCACGTAAATCCAAACCCAAGCCTCTTAAAATAGCTTGGTATTTCTTAAGAAATTTTCATACTTTATCACAATTTTCATTAGTTGCTTGTATTATTCCATTTTTTGTTATTTTAAACGTTTCAATATAATCATTGCATACATCTTGATAAAGAAAATTGATAGTTTTAATAATATTCGCAGATTTTTCAGACATATTCTTAGTATATAATCT